CCTTAGGTTAAGTGTCTGGAATAAAGTACTCTACAATATTGCTTTTTATTTCACATGTGAATTCTGGTTGTAAAACCCTAACAAAAATAATGTGTTTTCATCATTTAAAATGGCATACTTCTTAAACTCAACATGAGGAACATTATTGGCATCTAAGTAACAAGATTGATTCATTAATTATCTCAAAGTGAAACCGTAATCAAATGTTCGTTCCCCGTACCCTATTAAACATATGTCAGGATTAATATATCAAAAATTGATGCATGTTACTTTCTGGTAGTATAAATAAGAAGATGTGATATGGGTGCCAATGAGACAACTCTCCATCCAAGTCACAATGTATAAAAAGTTAACAATTATAGGTTAAAGTACGGTCTTCGTTATGGAGCCTTGGCTAACACCGAACAGCAAGCTATAAAGGGCCCCAAAATGACTAGTGTAAAACAGGAAAACCATCGATCTAATCTATATAAAAACGAGAAACGAGAAACACCTATGAACCACACCAACAAATGACATTCACTGAACAACAGGCTCCTGACTTAGGACAGGTGCATAAAAATGGAGCGGTGTCTAATTAATATAATGATAACAGTACTTATTATTAGGTATGATGTTTGAAGGCCTTATTTGCTAATGTGTCGAAATATTGCATTTGGTTTTAGAATTAAATTGACCGAAATTCCTATACATGTATAACTTATTAGTATTTTTGATTGTTTCAGATGTCATTTGTGTGTTATATTATAATATGTATAATGCATCATATGCATTTACAACCATTGTAATGTTTGGACAAACTAGAGACAAATAAGGGATGGAGTTCATACTGGAGTCAGCAGACGATTTTAAAAGGAAAAAAAAAGATAAAAATGGGAAAACTACATAAAAAATACAATTGAACAAGACATTGACCTGACAGCACATTTAGCAATAGCAAAACAATGCATATATACGTCCGAAGTTCAAGAACTATTTTTCAAACAGCGTCAAGTGGACAATAAAACATAGCATCAATGAAACTAAGTTTTCCGTTTATTTTTCTGTCAGTTAAGTATGAGAACAACATGTGGAAAGGGCAGATCAATTTTAAGAAATATATTTTATAATATTGCTCGAGAATACTTTTGCTGGTTATTGGACAGCGATTTTGATCTTAGCTAAGAAAACAAGCTTTTTAGGACGAAACATAATAAGATGAATATACCTCTGACACACGTTAAACAGGTTCGTTGCTACCCATAAAGAAATATTAACTACCTGAAAAAAATATTCATGGCACTGAAGACTTTATGAGAGTTAATGGACCGAAAGGGCGGTCATATCCAAATGGTTTTTCTGAAATAGACTCGGACTTCTCTTAAACTGAGTTTTACTGTGCGTACTGTTGTACGTTTGTTTTTTCTACATTGGCTAGAGGTATAGGGGGAGGGTTGAGATCTCAAAAACATGTTTAACCCCGCCGCATTTTTGCGCCTGTCCCAAGTCAGGAGCCTCTGGCCTTTGTTAGTCTTGTATCATTTTTAATTTTAGTTTCTTGTGTATAGTTTGGAGTTTAGTATGACGTCCATTATCACTGAACTAGTATACATATTTGTTTAGGGGCCAGCTGAAGGACGCCTCCGGGTGCGGGAGTTTCTCGCTGCATTGAAGACCTATTGGTGGCCTTCGGCTGTTGTCTGCTCTATGGTCGGGTTGTTGTCTCTTTGACACATTCCCCATTTCCATTCTCAATTTTATTGTCATAAACCGTTTTCCTTTTAATATGTTTGATAATTTTATCGGCAGTTACTGGCTTCCCGCAGAATTTGCAATTAACTGTATATCAATAGGAAATAAATTTTAGTCTTAATAACAACTACTGAACAACTGAACATAGTCCGAAGCTTCTACAGTAGATTCATAAATATTAATGGCCAGGAATGAAGATAAAACAACATTTGTTGGGTGATTGGTTTCAAAAGGAGCTGATTAGTCTCTGATATTCCTTTTTATAGTTAATCGTTTAGTTCAATAATATCATATGTAAGCATTGAAATTCAACAGGGAAATAAAAGCGTCAAATAGTAGACAAACATGCCACCCAAATCAAAGCTAATTCTTATAATGCCTCGACTCAACACCAGCCAAAAATCGGTTCATCTCGGCATCTTTTAAGTGAACTACAAAAAGTATATTTGTCATTTTAACTGGTTGTCTTACAATAATTATAGAACGTACTATACATATTTGTACAAAACTATATTCAAATATTGGAATTAATTATATTTGTAGAGTTTTAAAATCTCGATGGATGTTTCAGGTCTATTACGTGTTAGTGGTGGTCATTTCAATTCCGTAAACTGTTATGACTTTTCACTAAATGCAATCCTTATTTAAATAAAAGGTTCCTTGGAAATCGTGTGCACTGAACAAAAAATGTAATAACAACCTCACGAATCCCAAGGTAAATTAAAAAAGGGGGAAATCCATATAAACTGACAAAACCAAACGCTTGACTATAATCAACCATGAGAGCGAATAGAAACATTTATCAAATTCAAGACTTGGTACCGTCAAATCCCAAAGAAATTGTTGTGTTAAACCTGGTTTTATATCTAGCTCAACCTTCCAGTTGTACGACAGTTGTATGTAGTCCTTTTATATTGACACATTGTATGCGCAATCAAAACAGATATAATAATTTAAGGTGACAATAATTTGGATTAAGCAGATAAACTTGTGTAAACGTAAATCATATATATGCAACATAACTATATCAAAATATACAAACAAACAAAAAAACCAATTAGATCTATAAGAAAAACGCCAACAAAAACGTTATTGTAGTTGATAGTATAAATACCGATAATTTAGTTCACTATAGAAAATCATAATGACATATGTACACTTTGCCGATCAAGTAAAAGGTAATCTACATATGAATAGAAGGATACTATTCAAATAACACTATTTTCTTGCGTCTGGAGCGCACCTCCGGACCTAACCGCATCGTAAACGCCCAACCCCAACAACCCGGAAGCTTAATGAACAAATTCCCGAGCCACGCAAAGAGTCATATGATCAAAAGGGACATAAAAGTACACAGACATATTAGGAACAACTATGACAGTAATACATGACGTCAGAATCTATAATGCAAGGCCATCCATTAATATGTGTGCAGTTGACATTGAATATTTATCTTTAATGTCTTGGTACCTTTTTGGTAAATGGATGAGAAGTGCTTTGATAAATCCAGGACTGAATATTTTTTTTTGCTCTACCACAAATGACGTTTTATAAAGTCTGAGTAGCAACACAAAGCTCTTGAATATCGTATTACATATGTACAATTAAATGTACTTTCTTTGTTTTTCTTGATTTTTACAAGATTTTGATAAACATATTTCAGAGGACAGTGATTTAAGAAATGTTCAGAAGTTCTTTACAGTTCCCAATAATCCACACATGGTTAATGTCAATACGAGAGTAAACAGTATCTTAGTATTTCTGTTATCCCTGTTTCATTGCGCATAACATGTTGGTCAGTCTAAAGGACAATTGCTTTGTAGAACATGCCAGTAATGAGCTGTTGTTTGCACGGAGTTTTGGGAAGTGTTGGTATCCAACACAAACAAGGTAAGACCTCAGATTTGTTGCTACATGGAGCAATCAATGAGTCAATGAAAGAATTGAGATCTGCCAAGATATTATCCTTATCTGGAGTTATGTTTTTGTACTTGATATGACCAAAGTGTTCATTTATTTCTTTTTCTTCGATAAGACACTCGTAATGACAGATACATGCATCTATCGTGAAGAGAGTTTAGACATTTACAGCTTATTTGTCTGACTTCGTTCGAACATATACAAAGTTTGTCAACTCGTACATTTGACTTTGTATCAAATACCTAATTGTGTTCCCCATTCTGACAAAGTGTCTAAATCAAACATTTCTCGTTTTGCTCATGCGCTGATGTAATCCACAACGCAATTCTTTTCTCATCTTTAAGTTATGATTCCAATTGATTTGTTGGCTCTTTCTAAATTTAGGACCATGAGATATCATCTCCCGGAGATGATCATTTGAATTACGTTTAGATCGCCAGTAATTGCATGGCCAGAGGGGCTGTGAATATACGAACTTCATGGTCTTGCATTGCTTGTTCAGTTCATTGGTTTTGATGAAACTGTAGCAGACAATAAAAAAAGACTGATTTGAAAATAAAGCGGAATTTTGTATATATCTCACGCATAATTATTTTGAGAGACTATCCGCTTGACAAAGGATGTATAGATGTATTTTCTCCAATATGCAGACTGGCATGCATAATTTCATGTAGCTCTTTTTCGTCTTTTTGAAACATGTAAGATTAGAACCATAACACGACGAAAATATGAAAGTCTTTTCAAGATAGTTTTCAAATCTAGGAATAGATTCTCTTTTCATCACAAAGAATCGATTCCTAAATTAGAATACTATCTTAGAAGGACTTTCTTATTTTCATCATGTAATGGTTACAATCTTACTAGTTTAGAATTACTATAAAATAGCATTATAAAATTATACGGACCAGTGTGGATACTTGAGAAAATACATCTATACATCCTTTGTCAAGCGCATAATCTCTTAAAATAAATATACGTGAGATGTGTACTGACAAAACTACACTTTTCGTGAACTCAACAAACCATACTTGTCAGGTGTCCTGGAAATATAACACTTAACACAATACGCTTGTCAAGTGCACAAAATATCCACACGTGTCTTGTGTACTGAAACACCACTTTTGCTACACACACATAGCAAACCACATTTGAGCATTAAAAATATATATTTGCCATGTACACTGAACAATCCTTATGTCTTGTTTACAAAAAACAACTACATATATCTTGAATAATAAACCATCCATATTCAATATCGTCACGTGCATTGAAGAAAACACGTGTTTTGTACACTGACATCGGCATCATATGTAAACATATACTTTTTTGGGTAAAGAAATAGACAAACCTATAGATAACGATCACTATTAATAATAAATGACCATATCATTAAAAAAGTTTAACAAAAATACCGAACCCAAAGTCAAATTCAAAAAAGGGATGTCCATGAAAACTGATAAAATCAAACGCTATCAACAACGGAACAAGTGAAAAACAATTGCCATATTCCTTGAAAATTTGACAAGAAAGTTCGTTGGACTCAATTTATCTGCATATTATAATGTTACATGGCTCATTTGGTATGTTTGTGTTTTTTCTTTCCACAGTGACTCTTAGTAGTTTTCGTTGGTTCTGTGGTCGTTCTTGCCTCAGTTCTGGTTGTTGTTTGTTCGGTTGTGGTAGTCGGGCTTTCAGTCGTTGTAACTGGGCAGCCCTGTGGAATGATATCATTCATATTACAAGCAGTACCAGGTGGAGAGGTACATGTTGATGGTCTATTGCAAGCAAGAGAACTTACGGGAGGTGCTGAAAGTATATTCGAAAGATATATAAAATCTGCAATAGTGCTATATTTGAAATCATGTGTGTGTTTAATCATACGAGAGTCTACAGTGACATTATTCAATAAAAAGTTATATGGATGTATTAATCGGTTAATGGCTGACATCCAGTGACAAGTACACTCATTTCAGGAAACCAATGTAGTTGTTAATATATGAATAAGAAAATTATGTGTACAATACATACACATGGGATTCTTGTTACCCGGAAACGCCTTGTGTTTATCGGATTGGTAGCAATAACCAATTTACAAATCTTTGGATTGACCCGACAGGAGATCGAACACACCAGAGTTTTTCCTGACGACATTCGATGTGGCTTAATGCAAAATAACAATAACGATAGCATAATTATTACATGAATAATGATAATATTTATAATGATAATTATATAATAACACATACAAAAAATACATATAGCATTTTCTATTTCATAACGAAATTATAATTAACTCTTTTTATAAACATTTTTTTTTATTAAACGATTTATATACTTACATGTTGGATTTGACCCTGATACTGCAAAAGAAGTCAGATGAATTATCAGAAGGCTTGAATACTACATCTAATTTTTTTTATTAAGTTTTTTGTGACGTCATTGAACTTAAGACTAAAGGTTATTTATATGTATGTACTCTTTTCTGATTGATAAACAAACAATTATTTTCTAGACTAGTTGTATACTTTCTAGATGCATGTTAACAGTTTATGACAAAAAAATGAGACGAAAAAGATCAAACGGACAACAAAAACTTACAATAACATGTTTAAAAAAATCCAAATGACATTAAAAAAAAACATAAAAACCCAAAAATGACAGACAAAAAACAGCTGCGCCATGAGCGCATGATACGCCCGACGTCTTGTGTGTGAGGTTTTATGCAATAATAATAAATTGTTTCTGAGATACGGCGCGACATGTGAAAAACCCCCTTTTTTATAAAAAAATCAATAACTCTAAAATGAAATTTTGAATCATCACCAAAAAGTATACAGATCTTTAGATTAATATAATTAAGAAGTGTGTTAAGTTTTAAGCAATAATCATAAATCGTTTTTGAGATACGGCGAGACATGTGAACCCCCCCTTTTTTTTGCAAAAAAATCAAAAAATCAATAACTCTAAAATAAACTTTTGAATCATCACTAAAAAGTATACAGATCTTTAGATTAATATAATTATGAAGTGTGTAAAGTTTTAAGCAATAGTCATAAATCGTTTTTGAGATACGGCGCGACATGTGAAAACTCCCCCCCTTTTTTTTTACAAAAAAACTCAATAACTCTAAAATAAAATTTTGAATCACCAAAAAGTATACAGATCTTTAGATTAATATAACTCAAAAGTGTGTAAAGTTTTAAGCAATAATCATAAATCGTTTTTGAGATACGGCGCGACATGTGAAAAAAACACCCCCTGTTTTAGTTACAAAGTCCCGTAACTCAAAAAGTTTTAATCTTGTTTTCACCAAAAAGTATACAGATCGTTTGACCATCATAAGAAACAATTATGTAAAGTTTCATGAAATTTGGATAAGTCGTTCTCAAGTTACGGTGCGACATGTGGACGCCGGACAGACGGACAGACAGACAGACAGACAGACAGACGGACGCCGGACATTTGTATACCATAATACGTCCCGTCAAAATTTTGACAGGCGTTTAAAAACGAAAAAAAAAAAACGAAAATGACTTAAAACCGTAAAGTTTATCTTTTCTTCATCTGTAAGATCTTATTTAATTGAATGTTTGAAGAAATTTAACAAGGTTGTTCTTACCTACAGCTTCCAAAACTCTCCCTGGGACACAAATGTCACATATATCTGTCAATTCTCCTGCCTGGTTGTTAAAGGTTTGGCTAGCTGAAAGAGTATCAATACTTTGCAAAAACTCTTTAAAACTATATTTGTGTAAATGACCTTGAAGAATGTTAATCACGAAATACACATCGAATCAACAAAATCATATATTTTGATTGTTTTTTTTTCGTTTTTCCCATACCTAGCATCTCGTATTGTCAGTTCTTCATGAGTATTATTCACCAAATAGAAATTTTCGGACTTGCAACATAACCTATTCACCACTAATACTTAACGCAAGTATGTATCTGACGTTAACTGAATCTGTAATTGGCGAATGAACTTGGTTCAAATTGGATTGTCAACGGTTAAATAGATGAAATCTCTTAACATTACAAATACACGGTATGTATGTAAGCGTAATATAGGTCAGATACGTAGGTAAAGTATCCCGTCCGGACATCTTTTTTAAAAAATCAGTTGACATTAGTCCTCACTTGAAAGTATCATTTTATGAATTCGTACATGAAAATGGTAATTTTTGTGCTTTATACATGTTATACCAAAAATTGCTTAAACATCCTTCGACAAATGTTATCTTATATTCTTCCCATTGGGTTATTCAAGCCTACTGTTTTAATTCCGGGTGTTAATGGATAACGTTTAACCATAAAACACTGTAAAGTATACATGTATGTCTGTTTTGTGAAAAGAGAAATTATCAAATTCCAATCTAACGCATACTGGTTATTATTTTGTTTTTTCTAGCAAGAACCAGAATAAAGGAATATTAAATGAGATGTATTTTGCTTTGTTTTGTGATCGCTTATTAGTGCTATGTATTACTGTTCGGGTTCTACATTGCATTCTGCTACTGATAATAATATGATCGGTACACATTTTACTGCAACAGATGCGGTTTTCTTGATCATAAAGCTCTTTACGTGTTCATGTACCTAGACATCCTTGGCAATAATCATGTTAAGTTTGAGTGTTCTCGAATAAGGTATGGTTGGTTATCTCGTTTGAGTAATGTAAATTTTTGTCATGCCTGGTCTTTTTATGGCTGAATTTACCATTTATACTATATGTGATTTGTGCATCGTTGGAGGTCGTACGATGAATTGCTGGTGCTTGAAATAACATTTTTAGACTGGATAGTTGGCTCATTGGTAAAGATTCCACATCTCCTCACTTTTATATCAAGCAAATGACAACATTCAACTGATATAAAAAGAGAAAACCTACTTAATTTTATTGTCATGTATGCCCTACTGCGGTTTATCATTTTAGTATTTTGTTGATATGACAGAAAAACACAACACAATGCTCCGCAGGGCGCAGCTTGATACGACCGCAGAGGTCGAACCCTGACGGTTGGTGTAAGTATAAACACTACATTCAAGCTTGATACAGCTCTGAATTCGGGTTGTGATTAAATATTTGACACATTATAGGTTTCCTACACAGAATAATTGTGGTCAAAGAACTGAAAAATTTGAAATTGGACTTTTACCTTTTGTGGTCCAATATTCAAAATCTGAATACACGGTTATATTCAGCATATCATATAACCCTCAGAAATTTAATTTTTGAAGAAATCAAACAAACTTTAATTTTGGACCCTTTGGACCTCAATGTGGACCAATTTGATAACGGGCCCCTAAAAACCAAAATCTAAATATAAGGTTAGATCAGCATATCAAAAAATCCCATACATTCAATTTTTGGACTCCAATTTGAACAGATTCGACTCGGAATTTGGGTTGTGATATATAAATATAGCTTTGTGAAAAGTAATTTACACATAATAACAAACAATCCTATTACGAAGTTCTTTGAAAAATTACCCCAAAAAATGAGAAAATTTTTTTTTTTTCAAAATATCTTTCCTAATTGATACAGTCCTACAGTGAAATCTTTCCAGAAATTGCATCAAAATGATGATGGATTTAACATTAGCTTATCACCCACACCACTTAGAAAACACAAAATGTTCTAATAAATTTGTCACGCCAATATTAAGTGTGATAGTTGATGAATACCACATGTTTCTTTTTTATGATAGGTGGTAATTGCTGCATGAATGAATTAATGATCAATACACTACACTTATCCACATTCAACAAATGTGAATATTAAGTTAATTACAAATGTGTATATGTAATACAAATTTTGTGTAGTTTTTATAAGATGACAAATATTTTTTTTTTAGATTTTAATATGTAATATCCATTATTAGTTATAAAAATGTTAAAATAAACAAAATTTCAGTTAACTTCCTTGTTCCTGACCTGGAGTGGTTATAATCAATATTAACAAACATCTGTATGTTAATTAATATATCATATGTCCCTTTATCAGCATGAATTGACAGATTTGCAGCTCTACTTACCCATTTTATAATCTAATAATGAACAGTAAATTTCAAACTATATACATAATTTCTTCTCTAAAATTAGATAATCATATGATGCTATATATATTTTTAACTATGACTCTATTTATAATTTCTATTAATTATGCAATACAGGGATGATTAAATATTTGAGATATCATAGTTTCTGACACAGAGTGAATGTGGTCTAAGTACATAAGGGCATACGATAAAGTTACAAGGGAGGTAATGACGTTGCTAACGTAAAATGTTATTTTCGCGACGTCAAACTGTGCCATATCGGGAAAAGATGCATTTTTCGACTGATTTTTATCATTCAGACTGGTTTAAACGAGTTCATGGACCGCTCTTTTTTAAAATGACATTTGGTTTGATTACGTATGAAGATTATTTGTACTAATTGTTATGAAAAAGTCATAGATGATTTTTTTTTAAATTAGATAAATATACAGCAAAAAATGCCGTTTTTTTTCTAAAATCATGAAACTTTGATAAAAATCAATTATTTCCAAAGAATTGTTAAACAAATTCTGAGCATACTTATGTAAAGAAGATTTTCCAAATGTTTTTACAAAAATCCGCTTTTGTTTATCTTATGAAACAAAAAAGTTAGATATGTCTATCCAAAGGATAAAAATGTCCAAAAAAACGAAATTTTGAGTAAATGTCTAAAATTTTGACTCCATTTATCTCTTAAAGTAGCACATGAAGGTATATTATTTTATTACATATTTGAATTGACTGGGTGAAAAATAGCTTGTATGCAAGTTTTTGTAAAAAAAATCACCGTGGGATCAAAACTGTATCGTATACCCTTAAATAATTTGAAATTGGACATTTACCAATTATGGTCCAACATCAGAAATCAAAATACATGGTTGGAATCAGCAAATCAAAGAAACCCAAGAATTCATTTTTTGATGAAATAGAAAAAAAGTTTAATTTTGGACCCTTTGGACCTTAATTTGGACAAATTAGAAAACGGGACCAAAATTCTAAAATCTAAATACACTGATAGATTCAGTATATCAAAGAACCCCTTAAACATTGTATTCAATTTTTGATGAAATCAAACAAAGTTTAAATCTAGACCCCAATTCAGACCATCTTGAAAACTGTGCCCAATATCAAAAATATAGTTATATGCTTAGATTAAGCATATCAAATAACCTCAAGAATTCAATTTTTGTTAATTTCAAACTAAGTCTAATTTGGACCTTAATGTGGACCAGTTTAAAAAATGGCCCAAAATCAAAAATCTTAAATACTGTTAATTTGGGCACATCAAAGAACACAAATAATTCAATTTTTGATAAAATCAAACAAAATTTAATTTTGGACCCAAATTTGGACCAACTTAAATACTGTGCCAAAAATTAAAAAAAAAAATGAATACATGCTTAGATTCAGCATTTCAAAAAACCGCAAGATTTTTTTTTAAAAATCAAACAAAGTTTACTTTTGGACCCTTTGGACCTTAATGCGGACCAATTCTGAAGACAGACCCAAAAATCCAAATTTTAAATACCTGGTTAGATTCAGCATATTAAAGAACTCCAAGAATTCAAAACTTTGAAATAAACCCCATGGAAATTGGTCAAGAAATAACCAATTTATAGAAAGGATTACAAAAATATTGTTTTTGGCACCATTTTCTTAACCTTTAGGGTCATTACCCCTAAAATCGATCTCAACATTACTTTTATGGTATAAAAACCTTGTGGTACAATTTAATAGACTTATACACAAGTTATTGTCCGGAAACCAGAAAATCCTAACTTTTTTTGCTCTTTTTTTGGCCTCTAATTCCTAAACAGTTTGGGCCATGACCCCTCAAATCAATCCCAACCTTCCTTTTGAGGTATGGAACCTTGTGGTAAAATTTCATTGAGATCCATAGTCTTATACACCAAGTTATTGTCCTGAAACAAGAAAAATTGCTTGTTTTGGCCCCTTATTACTAAACAGCTATAACAATTACCCCGAAAATCAATCAACACCTTTCTATTGTGGTATGGAAACTTGTGCTAAAATTTCATAGAGATTCATACACTTATACTAAGGTTATTGTCTGCGAACCAGATAAATGGTTGTTTTTTGTCACCTTTGCCCCTAATTTAAAATCAGCTACAACAATAACCCCAAAATCAATCCCAACCTTCCTACTGTGGTATGAAACCTTGTGCTAAAATATCAAAGAGATCCATACACTTATACCCAAGATATTATCTGTGAACCATAAAATGCTTCTTTTTGCTCTTTTTTGGGCTCCTAATTACAAAACAGCTACGACAACAACCCGCAAAATTAATCCCAACAGTCCAATTGCGGTATGGAATCTTGTGCTAAAATTTAATACAGATCAATACATTTATACTCAAGTTATTGTCTGCAAACCAATTTTTTGTCTATGAAACAGTAAAAATGCTTCTTTTTGGACCATTTTTGGCCCCTAATTACAAAATGGCTACGGCAATAGCCCACAAAATCAATCCCAACCTTCCTATAGTGGTATGGAAGCTTGTGCATAAACTTCATAGAGATCTATACACTTATACTTAAGTTATTGTCTGCGAACCAAAATGTCTTCGGACGCCGACGCAGACATCGCCATAACATAATTATGATAATACGAACGCAATAAATTTTGCGGTCGTTTAAAAAGTATTATCAAAACATGTGTTGGTATAAAAAAAACCAAATGTTACAAGTAATCTGAAGTTGTTTTAGAATCTTATAATATATTTAGATGACAACATATGAAAACGTACCTCCTCCTTGTTCAAATTGAAACTTCAGAGGACTTTCAAGATCATAAAAGATCGAGTAACATTGAACTATGTCAGTATCCTTTTTCCTGAAAAATTATAAATAACATTATTTTTTCTTGTTCAAAATGTCAATAACATGAACATCTAAAATTGATTTTATTACACATTTGTTTTATTATTTTCATCACTTTTGAAATGATAGAAACAGTAATAACAATCAATATTCATCATTTTTTTTATCTTTAATTGATGCACATCAACTACCATTATAAATTGTTTACCATTTTCATCCCTTAAAAGAAAAGTTCAGATGTAAATATAGTAAATATGTTTTAGAACATCAAAAGCTAACAGAGAGTATTAAGAGACAGATACAACTCGGTTTATTTTGAATAATAGTTTCCTCCTTCGAGCATGGTTGTTTTTGTTATATCGTTATAGGAAGAAGACATTAGAAAATACATGTACACCTAGGGGCAATAAATTCTATTAACCTAGAAAAACAATTGCAAGAATTATGACATACTCTGCGAAATATTTCGTGAACTGTCTACTTTTGTTTTTTTCATTTTGTATCGTTTGGTAATGATATCGACCGGTTCTCTTGTCTTCCATTTTGTTTAAAGAATATGCATTCCCCGTGTATCTTTTAATTGTTTCTATACCTATATTCAATCAATAAAAAAAGTTCAAATACAAAAATGTACAACTTTGTGTTGCATATTATTTTACGTTTTGTCAACAGAAATATTCGATAATGAAGTTAGTCTTTTAAAAGATTGATACATCAATTAAAAACTGTCAGATCTTCACATGACTATGCTCTGTAATTAATCAATATTCATCATAATTTAAATAAAGTCACAACTATTTGGTTTAGGACATCAAACGTCTTATATATAATGCACATCTGCCGAAATAGTTTCATTGTTTTATCTTTGCTATTAAAATTCAGATATGAGCCTTTGGCTTACACGAAAACAATTTAAAAATTTCAAGAAGTGTAAGACATCAATTTGGGTAAAAATATTAAGGGAAGGATTCGTTTTATTTCTAAAGTTGTTTTAAAAACTATACCAAGGATGTTTTAAGGTCAAATATTCAATTTGAACTTGTTTCTCCTGTCATGGTGACAGGGCAACTGACATTTTTGTCTTAAAATATAAAAGATAATAATCCAAACGACAAATAAATAACCCCAATTCAAGAAAAATATTTAATCTAAAGGACCGTTAGTTTAAACAATAAGAAATTGGAAATAAGGTATGATTTCCAATTGAACTACTCTCATTATATTAGACAATACAGTCCAATTGACTTGGATTTACGCATTTATAGTTCAATTATATGTGCATAGTAACATTAAAACTTAGAAGTAGCACAAATGTCAAAGTACTGAGAAATTTTACCGGTTTTTTTTTTATAATTTCAGAGGCCAGATGACTTAAATTTAATAACAGCATCAAAGGCAAGGAACACAAAATATAAATTATTTATATACCTGACAATTAGAAAGCGCTCTGTTATTTGATAACACTGCAGCTGCGCTCTGCCAGAACTATCCACTAAAATAGCTGTTTGACCATCACCACTAAAACTGAATCTAGCTCCATATATTCTTTTGAAGTTATATATCTGAAATGATTTATTGCGCCATGGACACGGAAATTTGCAGGGAAATTCAGTCATACCTGGAATATGAAGTTTTGTTTTTAGATTGACTTTCATTAAAAAGGCTCAAACCTACATATTTGACAGCCAGAGATGTAAAAATACGTAGGAATGGCAGAAGCGTTTTGACCAAACAAAATCTTAAAATAATAGCCAAATTCTTCTAAGGTCAAATTTGCCTGAGGGAGTTTGAATCTTAGTTATTGAAAGTATAAATAAGAGCACAAGCGGACATAAATATAGCCTTGTCAGACATCTATGTTAAAACTGAAATAGCCCATAGCAGACTGAGGACCACCTCCGGGTGCGGGATTTTCTCGCAGCATTGAAGACCCATTGGTGGCCTTCGGCTGGTGTCTGCTCTTTGGTCGGGTTGTTGTCTCTTTGACATATTCCCCATTTCCATTCTCAATTTTATTTTATACACATTTTTTTTATTTTAATTTTTCATACAACTAATTAATGACATTATGGATTATTCTATGTTTATGTTTCAATAAGCACCTAATCCATAGCCCATCCCACGAAATAGAATCAAAACTTCTTTCAAACTCTATGAAAGCTGCAATTAACCGTTCTACTTCTTTTTTTATTACTGACAGCTGACAATGCTAATAATTGTTTTTGTGTTGTATCTAGATCTAAATCCATGACATCATTGAATTTCATTCAAATAAATTTTCAACAAATGGCTTAAATATTTCATTCAAAAGTACATTGAATAATTCATCCCATCCTTTCAACTGATAGTGCTGTGATCGGTCAAATGACTTTTGTATTATATCTATCGCCTTTAATTTTATACGCTTACTTGGATTATCAATAAACCTTTTGATGGATATTATACTTGTCATGTTAAGCATCTTTTCAGGAAACGTTAACATTACATCAGTGCATGTGGTACATTTGATATATCTGGAGTGTGATATGATATTTCTTCACTCGAAGACAGTTAAATGTTCGTATTGAAAACGCGAGGCTTGCCGAGCATTTTAAATATTGTAATGTTACTGTTGAGAGAGAAAAAAATCGTATTACACGAGATGCAGTGGTAAAATCAATATGGATACTCGGTGGAATCTGTTTTTCTAATGATTTATTTGCGATATGTAGACATACTTTATTTTTACTCTTCAGCAAGTTCAATGATCTGCCAAAACAAATAGTTGGATATGTGATGTCATCGGGCATGGACACAATAGCAAATTCAGAGGAAATCATAATAAATCGACATCATAACTGAATTTTAACCAATGAAGAACTGAGATCAAACAAATCGCACATTGATTATTTTTTATGTACATATATTTCACAAACAAACTGTTCATTTGACATGAAGAAATATAAAATAATGTCTTACCTGCAGAAATTTCAAAAATGAAGAACATCAAATATACCAACATTTTTGTGTGCATATTGCTTGCTCCTAACAGTATGTCTGTATCAAATAAATTCAGTAAACAATGTAAATAAAGATGATGTGCTATCTATAAATATATATCTTAATTGCGTAATTTGTTGTTTTTTTTCAAACCTGTTGTAACTTTACATTTCAAAAAAGAAATCATCAATTGTAAATATATTTTTAGTTATTTAATAACAAGTTTGGGAACAAAATTTTGTCTCCAAAATATTAAATTCTGTTTTGTCTTCTGATGGGCGAATTTGGACACCGCTTTACATTGAAATTGCACTACAGAAATTTCCGGAAATCCTAAAACATTAATACTGAGCGACAACTCTCAGGGAATACAATTCCGATGACTTATGTGCTTCTACAAATACGTTGTTTATTTAATTTTGTCTTACTTAAACTCCCAAGACCAAACTTTAAAGGATTGGAATAGAAAAATAAAATGTTATTGAATCTTTGGAATATGAATTTAATGCAAGAAAAAGTGTTAACGCTTCAGAATTTCAGTGAAAATTTTTGATAATGATACTAAAATTGTAATGAATAAATTTAGCGTCTGTTTGGCCTTGTGTGTTTCATTCAATTTACATGGTTTAAAAAGTGATCATTGGCAATGAAACTAATTAGTAGGCTTTTTGTTTGGTATTTGATTTCATCATGCTTAAATTTATGATCAAAGTCAATATAAAATTTGGTCAAAACTTTTGAAATTTGTATTTAATGCAAGAAATAAAAAGCATTTTTAATAATTCAGAATATCAAGTAATACGTGTGGTAATGATACCAAAATGCAAAAAATAGATTTAGCGTCTGTTTGGCCTGGTGAGTTTTGTCCCGTTCACACTGATTTTTTAAACGTGATCTTATGCAATGGGACTCATTAGTAAGCTTTGCATATGAGGTAACAGACTACAGGACTATTCGAATAGAAAAGTTGGGGAAAGTTTGGACACAATATTCAAGCTTGATACTGTCTGAATTTGGGTTGTGATCAAATTTTTGACATAATATAGATTTCTGACACAAAATAAATGTGGTCAGAGATCTTAAAAACTTGAAATGGAACATTTAATTTACCTAGTATGGTCTGATATCCAAAATCTAACAACATGGTTAGATTCAGCATATAAAAAAACATAAAAAATTTAATTCTAGTTGAAATCAAACAAAGTTTAATTTTGGACCCTTCAAACCTTAATATGGACTAATTTGAAAACAGGGCTCAAAATAAAAAAAATTAAATGCACAATAAGATTCAGCATATCATAGAGCCGCAATGATTCAGTTTTTGATGAAATCAAACAAAGTTTAATTTTGGACCATTTGGACCTCAATGTAGACCAATTTAAAAATGGGGCTCAATATCCAAAATAGTTATACAAGGTTAGAACCCCCAAAAATTAAAGACTTTAAATTAATCCCATTGAAATTGGTTAAACGATTTGTATTTATTTTCAATTGAAGATTTCTTCCTATTGCACAATACTGTGCTATTGCGCAATACTGTGCTGTTGCACAATACTTAGTTAATCTGTTATATATAATAATTTACACAACCTGTTTGGTGTGCATCTCCTGCCATATCAGTATTTGTTGCTTTTGTATATAAATCAGAAATAATTTATTTAAAAATATAAAATTTTTTGAGGAAAAAAAAATCCCCCCAAAAAATTTGTCTCCCCCCCCCCCAAAAAAAAAATGAAAAAAGCCGAGGGCTTTAAATCTTCATAAAACATGACCAAGTATTGTCTAACCTATAATTAGAACATACTCACCCCTTCTCGTCCAATGAAAAGTCAGTTTTTTCCTTCTGATTTTCATAGTACATGGCTTTCCATGCACTATAAAATACTTTACATGAATGACTTTTCATTGGAGATTAATTATGAAAGTGAACTCTTAATAACTACACTAATGAAGTGTACAATCCCCTGAGGCATTTTCCTTGGGAAAATAGCCTACTGATTAAAGATGAAAGAGATTAGAATTATAAAAAAACATTTTGAATTTTGCAAATATTTAGTATATTTATAGGTTGGACAATACTTGGTGATGTTTTATGAAGATTTAAAGCCCAAGGCGTAGCCGAGGGTTTTAAATCTTCATAAAACATGACCAAGTATTGTCTGACCAATTTAGAACATATTCACACTTTCGAGTGACCTTACAAAATTATCCTTTCCCATTGTAATATTCAAACCTAAATTAGAATTCACTTTTTATAATGAAGTGAATGTATAACATAGGTAATGATCATTTCAATGGATGGAATGAAATAGCACTGACATAGTTTGTGAGGACTAAAAGTATAAAGTGTTCAAACATTTGAGTTTTTCTTCTGCTTCAGGTAAAATTTAATACTTATATATCTTCAATATCTTGATTTTAAAAAAACACACAATGTTATATAAATCCGCTTTTTGAAATTGGTATTTTTTTTTATAATTATAAAACTCACTGTATAAGTATTTGAATGACGACCATTCAGCATCAGATGCTTACTTTTTATTGATAAATGTACATGTATTGTGTTGATTTCAAAAAAAAATCCTTTGCTTTATATATCAACAGTATGACATTGTTTTTTCGAATGAATGTCAGGTTTAAAAATTGAATAAATATTATTTTACCTACATTTCATTTTTTGTTTATTATATATATGTATAAACAATTGCAAAATTCAAAATACTTTTTTTTTAAATTCTTTTCTCTTTCGTCCTTTATCAGTAGGCTATTTTCCCAGGGAAAATGCCTCAGGGGATTGTACACTTCGTTAGTGTAGTAGTTAAGAGTTCACTTTCATAATTAATCTACAATGAAAAGCCATTCATGTATAGCATTTTATAGTGCATGGAAAGCCATGTACTATGAAAATTAGAAGAGAAAAAACTGACTTTTCATTGGACGAGAAGGGGTGAGTATGTTCTAAGTAAGAGAATGATAATCCCTTTCTTCATGATTAAGTACGAGCGTTAGCGAGTACTTATCATGATGAAAGGGCTTATCATTCTCTTACAAACTTAAAATATTGTAAAGTGCTCAAGGCTCAAATGATCTCTTGATTGCTTTTATTCAAGAATTTGTTTCATTGTCAGTGCAATGTTTATAATTAATGGATGACTTCCCTTTTAGGCATTTCATTTATGTATTGGTCTTAGTTATGTTAGGGCTTACTTTTGATTTGGGAAATTTCAATAAATTGTTTTAGACATTAGATGACACAACGTTACAATGAAATTGTATAAGTTTCCTAATTGTGAGTATGAGTGTAAATTATGTAATGTTTTAGTGAGAAATTAACTTTTTGTTTATTTACAGTTCAATTTAATAAATTCAAAATCAGAGTTACAACTTAATTGTATTCTACAGCCAATTTTATTCCAGCTCCTTGCATTAAATACTACTTAATTAACTAAATTTTAAATGTTGAAAGAAATTGCTTTTTATAGGAAATTCAAAAGTATGTACCGGTATTTCGGAAATGACTATTCTTACTAACTGCGAATACAGTAACCTGAGATTTGATAAGCGCAATACATGTAGGTAAAGATTTAGGTTATATCTAATTTTAATTTTTAAAAGTTTTTGTATTTGTTTTTGTTTTTCTTCTTGATATTATCTTTTTTTTTGTAATTTGAAAGTTCTAAATATTCACATAATAACACAAACGGTATAAACTGTACTGCACAAGTAAACTTCAAACTTATTTTGATCATTTTTGTTTGTTTCAAAGTTTAACTTTCAATCAATAAACCTTATAAATGTGCTCCAGGTAGCTGTAATTCATTTTATAGAAATTCTTTGTTTTGAACTGTAAATAGGCCTAAACAAAAGGATAATCCCTTACTAAGAACATGATTTACATTCATTCTTCACAATTAAGGAACACCAAATTGTACACTTTCATTGGTCGAGAGCACTTTGCTATATTCTAATCATGGTAAATATATATAACAAACAAAAAATGAAATGGGGCAAAGATGTAAGTAAAATAATCTTTTATTCAATTTTGATAGCAGAAATTCGAGTCAATTATTTTTTTTCTTTCAAGAAAACAATGTCAGACTGCTGATATATAAAGCAAAGGATTTTTTTCAAAACAAAACCAAACACAATCCATGTACATTCATCAATAAAAAGTAAGCATCTGATGTTGAGTGATTGTAATTCAAATATTTATAGAGTGAGTTTTATAATTATCAAAAAATATACAAATTTAAAAAAGCTGATTTATATAATATTGTGTGCTTTTTAAAATCAAGAAATTTAAGGTATATAAGTATCAAATTTTACCTGAAGCAGGAGAAAAACTTTGAACAATTTATCCTTTTGTCCTCACAAAACTATGTTAGTGCTATTTCATTCCATCCATTAGAATATAGCAAAGTGCTCTCGAACAATGAAATTGTAGAATTTGATGCCTCTTAATTGTGAAGAATGAATGTAAATCATGTTCTTAGTAAGGAATTATCCTAGTATGTGGGTCTATATACAGTTCAAAACAAAGAGTGTCTATAAATGAGTTACAACTGTCCCGAAACACATTTATTCGATTGAAAAGATTTATCACACAGTGATTGAAACTGACTAAAAGTTGAATTGTGAAACAAACAAAAAACTCAAAATAAGTTGAAGTTTACTGTGCAGTAAAATTGATACCGTAAATGTTATAATGAAAATATTAATAACTTCAAATTATCAAATAAGTAAACAATACCAAAGCATTTGCAAAAAAAGAAGAAAAAAAGCTTTAAAATGAAAACAATTCCTTAATCTTTAGCTTTCTAAAACTTTGATCACTGGATCAGCGGTTTGGAAGAATAATTATTTCCAATATTCCGATCAAATAAAAAAAAAAACAGGAATTTAACTGAAGTCTTGAACATATAAAAAAACTTTTAAAGGCATTTTATTTGAACATTTCCCTGACATAATGAAATAGTATTTGATGTAAAAAGCCGGACCAAAATATTGGCTGTTAGATAAAATTTAGTTGGAACTCAAATGTATCAATTGATTTAAACTGTAAATTAAAAAAGGATAATTCCTCACTAAAATATTCCATGATTTACATTCATACTCACAATAAGGAAACATATACAATTCCTACATTTTCTTTGTTCTGTTGTGTCAGCTAATATGTATAACGCATTTTCTTTTTTAAATATTTCCCAAATGATAAGAAATTCCTTACATCACTAAAACTAATTCATAAATGAAATGCCTAAAAAGGATGTCATGCATTAATTATAAACATTGCACTGACAATGAAATTAATTCTTAAATACACCCAATTAAGAGAGCATTTGAGCCTTCAGCCTTGAGCACTTTACAATATTCTAAGTTTGTAAGAGAAATGATCATTACCTATGTTATGCATTCGTTTTGTTAACCTTGTTAACACTTCATTATAAAATGTGAAGCCTTGGGCTTTAATTTAATCTTCATAAAACATGACCAAGTATTGTCTACCGTTTGCATCCTCAATATATTAACATGTACTGCCAGAGGCATAAGGATTGAAATTTAAATCCTTGACCGTCAATAGTTAAACATGTACTGCAGAGATAATGATTAAATTCATATGATATTTGTAATTAATAAATAATCTATTTAAAAAGTGATTTTAATGTTTTAGATTTTATTTACAATTACATCCGTATCCGATTCCTTCATTCAGTTAACTTTGATGTGTTCCTAGTTGACATTTTGTCAATAAACGAATAAATAAAGGCAAATATGAATGAGCTCGCTCACCACTATTGTGCCAAAATTAAACACTTCAATTGGACAAAGCACCAAAATAACACACACCAAAATAAAACGCATGCCTTTTAAGAGAAAAGCGCCAAAATATCCCGACGCCAAAATTTCCCAATTTACGGTTGTCCTAAATATGGAGTTTTACTACATGTATCTCATAAATTTAACATGATCCAAGAATATGAGAGCGAAGTCAGATAAACCAAGCCAGAAAAAACATGTACACTTTACAATCATTCCATTCACTGAATATACTTGATCTATTACTTATATTATACAAGAAACAGACCAAACCTTGAAAACTTAATATTGACCAATGGACCATGAAGATGAGGTCAATGTCAGATAAACCCAGATACAGACATGTACACATTACAATCATTCCACGGATCAAATATAGTTGACCTAATGCATATAGTAATGAAGAAACAAACATAACCAGGAAAACTTAATATGACCAATGAACCATGAAAATGAGGTCAAGGTCATATGATACCTGCCAGACAGCCATATACACCTTACAATCATTCCATACACCAAATAAAGATGACCTATTGCTTAAAGTTAAAGAATAACAGACCAAAACACAAAAACTTAACATTGAGCAATGAACCTTTAGAAATGAGGTCAAGGTCAAATAAAACATGCCAGACTGACATGTACATCTTAAAATATTTCCATACACCAAATATAGTTGACCTAATGCATACAGTATTAGAAAAACAGACCAAAACACAAAAACTTAACTTTAACCACTGAACAAGAAAATGAGGTCAAAGACAGATGACACCTGCCAGTTGGACATGTACACCTTACAATCATTCCATACACCAAATACAGTAGACCTATTGCTTATAGTATCTGAGATATGGACTTGACCACTAAAACTTAACCTTGTTCACTGATTCATGAAATGAGGTCAAGGTCAAGTGAAAACTGTCTGACAAGCATAAGGATCTTGCAAGGTAGGCACATACCAAATATAGTTTTCCTATTACTCATAATAAGAGAGAAATTAACATTACAAAAAATCTTAACTTTTTTTTCAAGTAGTCACTGAACCATGAAAATGAGGTCAAGGACAAAGGACATATGACAGACGAAAACTTCATAACATAAGGCATCAATATACAAGGTATGAAGCATCCAGGTCTTCTACCTTCTGAAATATTAAGCTTTTAAGTAGTTAGTAAATGCAGCCTCCGGATCACTATCCCTATGTCGAGCTTTCTGCTACAGAAGTCGCAGGCTCGACAACAAAACAATGTTGAAATCGAGAGAAGTATTTTTCGGCAATGGTTCTGAAATTATAACAATGCGTGCATAATAGAAGTCGGTATAACCTTTATAGCTTACTTTGCGGTATAACCTTTAATTGCTTACATCAACGACATTTGGTCTTGGATGGAGAGTTGTCTCAATTGCAATCATACCACATCTTCATGATCTTCTTATCTTTATAAAATGTCCACAATACGTTTTTAGTTGATTTTCCTTAGACGAAATATTAACCTATATTTCTCTAGCTGTCAGATTTGTAACATATTCTATGTGTTTTATTATGTTTTCTGTACAAGATTGAGTACCTGAAAATGTCAATAATAAATTTAATTGCAGCCTTGAACACTAGCTATATTCAATTGATGTATCATCATTTAAGGAAAGTAACATAAAATAGTGATAAAAAATCATTTTGATTGGGAGAAGTTTCATTGTTAATGGAAAGCTAACTTGACAAAAATATACAAAACTTACAAAATGCATGATTAAAACGTTTTCTGACAACCTTTTTCAAGGCATTCTTTTCTTTCAAAATTTTAGGAAGTGCCTGCAGAATCTGAAAATATATAGTCATAACATATTTTGTACAATGAATTAACTTCTCATTTGTTTTTGGTACTGTGCAGAATTCATTTCCCTTTAAATCAAACTTTTCAAAGTAAATGTTTTTTAGCTTGATTGCATAACAGATTTGACCAAGAGCATCCAACTTTGTATAATGTTTTGAGCACAGGTAAGTGTGTGTATGGGACCCCTGTTCTATAGTGAACCTACCATAACTTAGCTCGTACATGTACCTTGTGTGTGTAAGTTATCTATATGGACTTGTTTATAAGCTCAATATAATCCCCTGTGGAAGTCAAATCAGCCACACGTACTATATCTGTTTGATACATAGAAACCTAATGGGAAACTTTTATTTCATGAGATACAATTCTGAAAATTATTGTCAGAGTTCGTATACACAAAAGAAAACTATGAAAGAAGTAAAAATTATTTTGGTCCAAAAATTATATTTTTAATAATTCATTTTGTAAGATTTATAGAACTAAAACAGATTACAAGTCACTTGAACTAATTAAGGCCATGTCAAACAGATATTTCTAAAGGATGGAATTTCTTTATTTTTTTTTTCTTCAAATGACAATCAATGATATTTTGCAAATATATATATTAATAGGTTACTGACTACCTTTCTGAGTAACATGAGGATATACATGGGATATTTTTCCAAATTTGATAAAAAAAAAAATCTGATTTTGTCTATTTTGTACAAAATATAAAACCAGAAAATCATTCTTGAATCACATGTCACAGAGTTCCTTTAAAAGATATGTAATATTTTTTTTGCAACTTTACGTGTCGGAACAACAAGAATAGCCCTGCTTGCAAAACTAGAGGCTCTTTACCTTGATCTATGTGCATATTTAACAAAGGACACTCTTCAACATTGTAGACGAGAATAGAGTTCATGACAAAAATCTCTGTTTTGTTGATCTTGTATTGCTGATAATTTAATCTGTTTAGTTTCTCTCTATCTTCTTTAGTTTTTTGCTCAAAGCACAAACGAAGGTAAAAAGAAAATTCTCATTTAAGGGCAATCACTCCTATAAAGAATGACAGTCTACTAACTATATCAGCAAAATTTGACCTGTTAGTAGATCTTGCCTTGCTGATAATTTTTGTGATTTAAAGTGTCTATTAATCTATTATAATTTTTATCATGTAAGGCAAAACGCAAACAAAATAGTAAAAATCGTCATTAAAGGGCAATAACTCCAATAAGGAGTCATCGGACAATTTCCTCCAAATGGTCATAATTGTAGATCTTGTCTTGCTGATCATTTTTGCTTATTTTAGTTTCTATCAATCTATTATAACGTTTAAGATATAAGACAAAAACGCAAAAAATTGGTAAAAATCGTCATCAAATGGCAATAACTCTAATAAGGAATCGACTGGCGAGTTCGAACATTAGACAAATTAGTAGAACTTGTCTTGTTGATCATTTTTGCAATTTAAAGTTTCTATCCATCTATCATAGTTTTCAAGATAATAGGCAATAATGAAAACTAGAGGCTCTCAAGAGCCTTTTTCGCTCACCTGTATCTACTGTGGTTTTGGAAATCATGTAACATAAGGTTAAAATCATAATAAATAGTATTAGATACCCTAATAATGATTGAGGCCAAGTTTGGTTTAATTTGGCCCAGTAGTTAAATTAAAAGCAGGTCATCCCATTGTAGTCTTTCAATAGTTACTGAAGACCCTTTATCATTATTTAAATTAGTTTTCAAGTTGTGACCATTTGCAATTGTTTTTTTTACAATTTTCCCATAGACTTCTATAGTAAACCTCTATGTTCTATTTTTAGCCATGGCGGCCATGTTGGTTGGAAGGCAGGGTCTTCGGATACATTTTTCAATCAAGATACCCTATTGAAAATTGTGGCTAAGTTTAATTCTATTTGGCCCAGTAGATTAAGCGGAGAAGATTTTTGTAAAAGATTACAAAATTTAAGAAAAATTGTTAAAAATTTACTATAAAGGGCAATAACTCCTTAAGGGGTCAATTGACAATTTTGGTCATTTGTCTTATTTGTAGATCGTAATTTGCTGAACATTATTGCTTTTTACAGTTTATCTCTATCTATAATAATATTTAAGATAATAACTAAAAACAGCAAAATTTTCTTAAAATTACCAATTCAGGGGCAGCAACCCAACAACGGGTTGTCTGATTTGTCTGAAAATTTCAGAGCCGTTAGATCTTAACCTGATGAACAATTTTACCCCATCTCAGCTTTGCTCTAAATGCATTATGTTACCAAACAAGTCTTTACTATAATGTATCGGTACACAAAATAATGAAATTACTTTTAATTAATTTGCTCGAAAAAATGTTCCTGAATAAATTATCATTTGAAAAACAATTAATTAGACTTTTAAATTGGTATTTATTCTTATAGTTATGGATGTCACGATCATGCATAATTAAAGCACATACAGCTACTTGAATATTTATTCGCTGTTAGATATATAAAGCCCCCCTCTCTCTCGTTCTCTCTGAGAGGTTTAGCTAGCTATAAAACCAGGTTTAATCTACCATTTTATACATAAGGAAATGCCTGTACCAAGTCAGGA